GCCCAAACCATCAGTTCCACACTGTGGTGCATACGTGATGCGGTAAATTTTCATGGGTTGCGGGTAGCCCAACAGTAATGTTTCATTGTTCCATGCAGATGAAACAATGCCTCATGTGTAAGGATAACAGGACGAATATCCCCGTGATCCATAAACCAGCGGCAAAATTCATGCCGCTTCTCCGGATCGCATGGATTCAAAACCTGCACTTGAAGTGCACGGAACCTCGGAAATTTTCGTTCCAGTAATATCCGGTGTACTGCATGTCGGGTCGTGTCTCAGTGCTGTGCGATCCGACGGATGCTGAGATCGGGACTTTTGACACTTCACTTTCTACAGCGCAAGCTGAACGGTCGTCTGTGGTGATGCGAGGCTGTCCGGTTCTCTTCATGTCACACACACTATCAGTTTGCTCGAACTTCTTCATTAGTTTAAGCACGTACCGGGTGGTGATGGGACTCATTGCTGCGCTCATTGCGTTGTATATTCTTGAGATTGATGCGGCGTTTAAACCGCATTCACCGTACAGCCGAATAACCAGCGCGCGCTGAGTAACAGGAACGTTACGTGATCCCGACTGCATTGTCTGCTCGTGCTCCATTACCTGTGATTCAATAACATTGACAACGGTTGCAATATCTAACCTCGTCCTCAGCTGAGCTGCCATCACATTCGCACATGCACGTTGCAGTTTCGGTCGTCTAAGCCGACTTTGTCGCGTAGCCAGGGAGACACACAGAGATAACCATTGATCGTCCCAACGCCTACGGTTGGCCATGACCTGCACTCAGTGCGAAGTTAGCTAACAGCCGGAAACATGTTATGACTCGCTGGCTGATCAACAGCCTCATGTCGGTGCGTCTTTAGTGGTTAGGCTTTTTCTCAGCTGAGCCCTGCACTAAATCACTCGTCTGCCGAGAATTCCATACGTCCGCACCACTAAGGTGAGAGAGAAATTTATGTCTTTGCCCTCGCAGTAGCATGTTGCGAATTTTGCCAAACATTGGATGGCTACTGGATGTTGGGGGCAACAACCGTAAATTATCGGCGTTCACCATGAACGAGCCATGGTAGGTAAATGAACGCTAATCGGCCTCCTGCCATCAGACTAACCGTACATTCAGTCACCGGCCCGTTTCGCCACTTGGCCCTGCTGCAGCAGGGCCATTAATCAAGTAGATGTCCCCGTTGTCGGCCACGGGGGCTCAATGCGCGTATAGACCCAAATACTCCGCACACGCTCGGTCTGTGGAATACGGGCTGACAAGCACGAACAGCCTCAGAGCGTCACTGATGTCAACAACAATGTTAACCCCAGTACTGGGTGGGATGACGGACAACGTGTCGACAGGTCATTACGTAGGGAATTGAGTGCTGTCGATGTGGCGAAAACATGCAACATGTGGGCACAACTACTGTGGACAGGACTTGATCTCGTGTTGACTAACATACTGCATTTGGCATTAAGTGGTTTGGTTTTTCGGGCCAAATATCTTTACAAGAGAAAGTAGTGGTGAGAGAGACAAATAAATTTGCCGACGTTCTACGGCGAGCCATTCCGTGAAGAGCAGTGATCACCCACTACTTAGGATCAAATACGCCAGACGGTTGAGATATTTATCAAAACTGGTTCAACGAGTACGGTGTAGGTATGTACTTGATGTGAACCGAAGAACAAGGCTATCGCTCTTTAGTTGGGGCTTAATCTGTCCGCACTATGCAAGCTGTAATTCAATTAATGTATCACCTCCTGTAATTGCGTGCAGACCAATAAATGCAAACAACCGCTCATCCTTGATCGGTTTCGCATTTGTTGTAGTGTGTGAGTTATAGACATACTACACATGGCGGCCAAGACTCACTTCCATACAACAGTACCGCTAGAACACAGGCATTGTTGATTGCCAGTTACCGAGGGTGAAAATTAGCGACGATGTCACAGATGCCTCAGAGTATCGAATGTTTATGGCGCTTAGGCAATAAGAAAAGCAATTTCCACAGCAAGGCAGCTTCCTGGCTGGATGAAGCTATCCACTTGATCAAAATTCCTGCGTTCAAGAATCAGCACTGGGGCAACTGGATGCTAACGCTAGAGTGCGACTGCACTTCTTGCGGGCAAACGTCCGTCATATGACTTGCATCAGCTGTGGATTGTCACCAAGCAAGAGATGATATCATTATCAGCAATGTTCAGGTCAGTCGAGCAGTTGCATTGAAGAAGCTCTACACCAGAATCATGGAGACCTTCCAAAGTGTTTAACCGGATATCCTCAATCACAAAGTTGAAGAGAACTAGCAAATGGGGCATCCCTACCGCGCACCGCTATTAACGGCGTAAGGTGAAGAGAGCTTGCCGTAAGCCCTCAGTCTACTCGTGATGTTGTTGTATAATATACAATGGATAACAGTGTACTTTTCGGATATCCCACTCTTTCGCAGACAGCGCCATAAAGTACGCCGATCGACTGAGTAGAACGCGGCTAGGATATCCAAGAAGGCAACAATGGTAGGGTGGCAGTAAAGGTGACGATGCTCGAGAAGTTAGCGGATCGTAAACATGTGGTCCACACATCCTCGCCCGGGCGGAAACCAACATGAATCTCAGGGGAGTGTAAGTTTCGAATCGGGGTGTTAGCCTGCAGAGTAGAATGGATGTTAGCAATTTGTAGGCGACAGGAATTAGACTGATTTCTCTGTATTTGGCACATAAGGTACAATCACCTTTCTTGAAGATGAGACAGTAATCGACAATAATCGACTTCTTCACACCAAATCTTGGAGGACAGAGCTGTTAATTGGTTGACAATTGCCACTCCACAGTAACTGAGCAACTCCGGAGGAAGTCTGCCTCAGTCCAGAAATAACCCATTGTTGAGTGTAAATCTAAGTATATTTCTCGAAGAGTATTGAGTACCTAAGTCGAGCTCCGTCTTGAACACAGCTACTTGTGCGCGGTTAAGTACCGCGATCAAATATGGCGCAACAATGCATCATCAGATACATCACGCGGTAAAAAAAATCCGAGGATCGTAATACGTGCAAGGATTTGGACTATATGATTATTAGATGTTTAGTTCTCCAGGAGAATGCGAAAGTCTACTAACCCTGGATACCAGATACGGTTTTGATCAATGAACAGTGATTTACAGCAAGCAAATAAGATTGCATGACTGGAGTGAGGACTGGGACTAGAGTTTAAGATGACAGAAAAATCGGGAAAATCCGGATTTGTGGTAACTCACCGAGTTCTTCACATGAACCGGTATCCCCACTGCTACACAGCAGAAAGAGCTGATGAGCACACTGTTTGGTTGGCGTTACTTCGTCATCCAATAGAAAGCAACTGTGTCACGTAATGTAAATTGGATAGAATATAGTCGAATCGCTTTTAAAAGCGTTAATATGGGGGCGAAAATATGGTGAGAAGGAAGCACGCTCCATGTGTTGGATACCCGAAGGGAGAAAAGGTTTTGTTGACAATCAAATCAAGTGTGGTGTGTGGCCAGTTTGAGTTTGTGGCATCTCAGGTTGGTGTTGCGGATGACTTGCAACAGATTACTACGGGCGCAATCAGGGTTAGTCAGTATTTGGTACACCATGATAAGAGCACCTCACAACCCCCGGTATTCGTCGCTGTACAAGCCTGGGGATTGCAATCTGCGTTGGTAGGGGGATGTGAAACAGTCCTCTAACGATTTTCGTCGTCCTACGTTGTGGCGTTTCAAACGCATCAATATCGTGTTTGCGCTAATGTTGGGTTGCGTACTCCACGTGGTGCGTCAGGTAGGCGTTCAGCACTAACGGAAAGATTAATGACTTGACCAACCCGAACGCCGTTCGTGAGAGGCCAAGGTATTGACTGTTTCTTCTAGATACATTTTCAGTCTGTTTTCAGTAGCCAAGGTCGTCTTGCTCTATTATCTTTAGATCATGTTTCTGCGTAGCAAATTGCAACTGCTGCTCCCCTACCATAGATAATCATGAGTACACAGATATCGTATGCTCGGAACAAGGTGTCTGGAGCCGGTTTTAGGATGACCACTCATAGGACATGTTGAGATCTCTCTTCATTACAACGTGGTCGTCCAATGTCTTGGCATCGTGCCAGATCTTGACACCATCTGCGAATATTAGGAACTCATGCTGGAGCTCGCTAGCAATATGGTTGAGGACTAGTAAAAATAAGCGTGGTCTCATTACCGATCCAGTGGGCACACCACACTCGACTTCAGTTGGATCTGAGACGGCAATGCGGACTCTCACGTACAGTTTATGTTGAGTGATGGTATTGCTTCTATAACATAACACTATCTCACCGGTTCCGTAGTTTCGAAGTACGTGAGGAAAATTGGGGAGGCCGAGACGACTGAACGCTTTAGAATAGACCAAGTACACGAGCTTGACTCTTTTTCCCGCATCCGCTGATTTCGTTTAGCTTGATCGGTTTACCAACGAGTTTGTGGTTTAGGACCGATTTCAGCGGAATCAATGCTGCTGTGACACTACGATCTGGTTGCTCTCAAAGTATCCGTTGAGCGCCTATGCGTTTATATCTTCCATCACTGGATAACACAGGGAGGAGAGTGAATGGACGGTAGTTCAAGGGCTCCGCACCATTCGCCCTTTGAAATGATAACCCTTTCTACTTACATATCTCCAGCAATTGTGATTGATCATGTGTGGATGTACAATAATCCTTACTTTAGGGTTAACGAACTTGCAGGTAAACTGCACTAGTTCAAACCAGTAGTGTTTGGTAAGCCCGTGTGTTTGAACGTCGCAGTGTCGCTGTGCATATCGGCTGATATCGACACAGTGAACGATTTCATGAAGCGGAATGATTACAGTCCGCAATAAAACGGCTCCTCACGCCGCTTTCGATCGGGGGATGATGTAGCCTTATGCATGATACATTATATTACAATCAAACATGGGTTACTCACTCAGACGGCCTCTGAATATCTGTGAACATGATTATCAGAGATAACGAGGCAACTCACTCTGAAAGCTTCTATTCTTGATGATTGCATGTCCAAGACCTTACATGTAGCGGTTAGTTTGTCTGTGATCTGAAATGGCCAGACATACCACCGAATACATTCATGCTCAAGAAAGATGAAAAAATAGTGGCGCCTGTGAGGTGTGACTGCAGAGGTCGTGAGATCCTTATTACGTTAAACGATCACCATAGTGTTAAGAAGATGTATGCAACCTAGATCCTCAGTTAGGTTTTAGTAGCAATTCACTACACATAGAACAGATCGGATTGGTATGCTGAGAAGTTACTGATTACAGCTTCAATGAAACTGGTGGTAATAATGAGGGGAAAACTTGGGTAGAAAAACGTCAATGTGGGCAAATCACAAAAAATTACTGCTATACACACACAAACAGCAAACTCAGCACGAGACAAGCGTATTTACATCAGTAGTTATTTGTGAGCAATTTCGGCGTGTTAACATGCTGCAGCAAAATACTTTTAACTTGGTGCTCGTAGTGTAATACACGATTCAGTTGATTACTTCGTACGCCTAAGGTCTTGTTTTCCCTTAACTGAATGCTCCTTCCTGTCTGCCATTGGCCTCGATTCCCACTCAGAGTTGAAAAACTCTCAATGATTGACGACACCGGGGAACTAAATGCTCTGGCACAGCTCAGTTAGCAGCAGAATTTCACCAGTGCGCTGTAATCATTTCCCCGACAGCTCTAAGTCTGACGTCGCAGAGCGGCGGATTCGTACAACAAAGTGCTGGTTTTTGTTTCAAATATTTGAGCTATGGTAGACTCCCGGCTGAGATATACACAGCATTCGCGTATGTTATTGAAGGCTCTAAAGAAACGCGTTTGGTATTTAGTGTGTTGGTTCGAGTGCGATGTCTACCTATTGGTTATTCATTATAAAGCAAGAAACATTAAACAAGACAACCTTAGGCGTCTTTTTGCATACATTGATCCGATTTCTTACCATTGTCCATCGGGACAAGTAAAACAACCACGCTTTGAACCACATCTTCAATGACAACATATCATCGTTGCATTGATTGATCTTCCCATTAGTTACAAAAATAAATAACCTGATTGTATATAGAATAGCGGCAGCATCGGAACATGAACAAAAGACGACAATTTCACGTGCTGCTTACTTGCTGCTTTTCAGCCGTAGCCAATTCAAGTTGCAGATTCAATTGAATAACCTCATTTTCGGCATCAGCGGCAACTTTCGCCAGTCTATCGAAGAAAGAGGTAGTTACGCCAAGTAACTGGGAATCCTTTTGTCGTATACGAGGAAGGAAATGCATTTTATTCCCACAATCAGAAAACGAAATGAATTGGAAATGGTCTATGATTTGTAGCGGCTATTTCCATGGACATTCTGACTACAGTACCCAAGCCACATAACGGACTACTTCCTTATGTTGAGAGTGAACCGTTTCCAAATCACTAGATCATCTGCCGCAACAACAACGAGGATTTAAAAAAGCTTGACACACTTTTACTGCATATATATATATATATATATATATATATATATATATATATATATATATATATATATACGGCTGGCGGCATCCGGTTTCGGATTTGCCTGTCACTGTGGTCAGCCACAGGACTCCTGCGCCTATAGAGGGACCATGGGTGGCTTGCGCTGCACCACCCACAGCTCCAACCACATACCCCATATCCAGTGTAAACCTGAAGAAATAAAACCGGGAGGCATGTGGAAGCGAGCCACGTTTCATCAACGGAGCCGGCCCACACTCCTTCACAAGCAAACACAAGCACGCTGTATTTGGGAATCAAAAGTACACAAGGCGGTGGCTGGACCGTAGTCCGCTCCACACTGAGTGCATGGAACCACTCTTCGAGCCTAGCACGACCACAAGGACCGTGCACCCCGTCCCATCCAGCAACGAGCAACTATCTCCTAGAGACAGTATGGACGAGGTAGTGGGTAATAGACAGGTAGGCACCTTGTCAACATGCACATCAAGCGTAGTCGCACCGGGGATGTCAAACAACACCCAATCACTTGAAATGACAGCAACAAATAAAACATACCTGTTAAAGCTTGCGACTATGCAGACATAACTCTTCCCTAAATTAGCATATGAAGTATGTTAGTTAGCAACGAATCCAAGATAAGTAACAAATGTCCAGAAGTGACTCAGAAAATGCTACAAACGCAACAACGCAACACAATTGCCGTAAGCAACGTGGAAATTTAATAGAAGATTATTCCGGTAGGCAGAACAAATCAAGTTAAGTGGAATGAAATTTACCCAGCTTAAAAGGAGACCTAGTTTAAGTGTAAGTTGGTTTAGCCCAACTGCGGTGAAGAAGCATCATGAATGCAACATCAGACTCAGCATGGGGCATGGGGCACATATATATATATATATATGTATATATATATATATATATATATATATATATATATATATATATATATATATATATATATATATAGGCTGAGCCCCGATACACAGCCACGAACAACAAACGGCGACGAAAGCCAATAATAATTTCAACGACTACGAGCAGCTGCATTCCTGTTATGCTATATAATTTCAACGTGGACGTCGATGGAACAACTGGGTTTGAAGATCACATGATTTCGTGGAGAGTGAATTCAACGCGTGGCCATTCACTGCCCGAAATCGAATATATTTCCTTATAAGTGCGTATATACAGAGTGAATAGCTACCTCAGAACTGAGCTGATTGGGTAAGATTTTATGTATTCGAAAATGAATAGGTCACCTAAGTTCGTTGAATCTGCCAGTTACAAGAGTGAAAGATTTTGATACATGTGCTTTTCAGAAGGACGTTCCCGGTTTTTCGAAACCCTAAATACTGACGGAAGAGACGGGAAGGCCTATTAAAGTCAGAGCTAAGGTACGTATTACAAAAAGACGATGAACTGTTCCTTGCGACTCAAACAAATGACTACCGCGTGTAAAGGACTTTGAGACTACCTGCCCTTGACAACTGACGCCTATGAAAAGTTGGCAATAATTGCGCTGTCTGAGTCACCTCCATCTCGGTCACACTTACCTCCAACCTCGGTAAGAAGTCTGCCAGGGACGCGATCCGTTATAAGAAGTATCAAAGTGTCCGGATAGGGTTCATGGCAAAGTTGAGGAGATAGTGTTGTCAAAAATAATCGCTTAATAAAGCAAGAAGAAATAACATTATAACAACAACAACAAGATAAGTAATTTGAATGTAAAGGGAAAACACATGGTTTCTTTCGATGTATCATCATTGTTCACGAATGTACCTTTGGAAGAAACACTAGATATAATAGCCAGACACGCTGATAAAGTTGGGTTCCCAGCGCTCCAGCTCAAATCATTACTGCGCCTATGCACAAAAGATATTCAGTTCCGGTTCAATGGAACCCTGTATCGACAAATCGACGGCGTGGCCATGGGCAGCCCACTGGGCCCAGTTTTGGCTGATATCTTCCTCGGAAACTTGGAAAACACTGTGTTAGCTTCTTACCTACAAAATGTACACCTTTATTGCCGGTATGTAGACGACACATTCATCGTCGTTGACACACCTGAACAGGCGGCGCACTTACTGAAACTGATGAATATGTGCCATTCAGCCATCAAGTTCACAATGGAAAACGAGTCCGACGGATCTTTCCACTTTCTAGATGTTAACTTACAGAGAAAGCCAGATGGTGCACTCGTTCGATCTGTGTACAGAAAAGCAACATGGACGGGGCAATACTTGAACTTTAATAGCTTTTGCCCAATGAACTATAAACGAGCTCTAGTACGTACCACTTTTGCTAGAGCTCGCCAAATTTGCTCATTAGACACAATCGAACATGAACTAGAACGAGTCACCTTGACGCTACAAGAGAATGGGTATCCAGCGCGATTTATAACTCGGCACGCGAAAGTACGATCCGGAGATAAACCACCAACAGATGTTTCAAAGAAAAAAGTATTCATTACACTGCCCTTCAAAGGAGATCAAGTTGACCGAAGATGCAGGCATCGCCTCCGTCAATCGATTAAGAAGTGTTACCATGCGGCTGAGCTAGTGGTATTGCATCAAGTCAGAAGGCTGCTCTGTAAATCCAACCTGGACAGACCAGACTCTCAAGTTACCGCCTCTTGCATTTACCTCTTTAATTGTACTTGCGGTAGCAAGTACGTAGGCCGAACTGAGAGAAGGCTGTCCGCGAGGATTGTAGAGCATGTTCCGCGAAACATGATTGCTAAGGGTCCGAAGCTACCAACTAGCTCTATTGCCCGCCACATACTAGACTGCCCTGAATGCCAGAACCCACGTGGCAATTTCAGGGTAGTTAGCAAACAGGCTAATCCCCGTTTACTACAGTTTGCGGAGGCAGCAGCAATTCGGCGGCTGAAACCAAAGCTATGCAAGCAAACGGATTTCGTGACCACGTTAGCCCTACCTTGGTGAGGCTAGCGATTGCGTTTTCCTCGGAACAGGTCACGTGAGCCTAAAGACCTTCGACCGCTTTGAATTTTTTGCTGTTAACATCGCACTATTTTCCACTCATTGTATGTAAACAGCTGAGGAGAATATGCGAAATTACTGAATTCAGTAAATTCTGTTATAATGTTATTTCTTCTTGCTTTATTGAAATTCGTGAAGGGAAATGCCTGCATGGAATAATCGCTTAAGTCAACCGAACAATGTACGAGGCCGTCGCTTTGGATCTCGACGTATTCCTCGTTTACCCGCAGTGTTAAAATCCCTTGTTCGCTGTTATCATCACGGAGACGCGAGATTCGAAGACGGAAGGCATTTAGGTACGGGGATTGCATTACAACTGAGCTGCAGTGATGAATTCGTACTGAAAAAATTGAAATTGTTAAGTACTGATTAGCCTAAGAAATGTCATACAAACTCAGTTTCAGATCAAGGCAACCGATCACATAGCAATTGTGTATAAAGCAAAGATATCTCAGAAGCCAGGATCAATAACGTCCACATCACCATCTCGTCATTTATTTGGATTTCTAGCAGAGATGTGTCCATTCTTTCTACAGATGGGTGTTATATTGAATACTAGTGAACAAACGGTACATAGCGGTAAAGATGACGATTTTCACTCAGATTAACGAAGATGAATTGGCGAGGAGCGGAGTACCGGTTCATAGTCGATCATCAAGATCGCAGACAAACTACAAGATAGTTTTGAGGTCGAATGAGCTCCTTTGAATGTTGCGCCTTTCGAAAGATTGTGGTCTGGTTCTGAATCAATCGTGCCTCCCATCTACATGCATCCCCCTCTTAGTCTTTTGGGTTTAGGCTGAATATGAGGTGGGTAAATGATCTGAGTGTGGTGCAGCACAATCCACCCATGGTCCCTCAGTAGGCGCAGGTATGCTGTGACTGTTCGTAGTTTCAGTGACAGGTAACTACGAAAACGGATGCCGCCAACTATATACAGACCTCTGTGTGAACACTAGTGAGTCCATTAAAACGATTTGCATTTTATCACTGTTTTCTATTCACCATGTTGTGGTTCTCATTCTGGCCATCCTACAGGACTTGCTAAGCATCCGCCTTTTTGCCCATAATATACCATTGTTCCATTGTTCAATACAATTCTGCATCTTAAATATTTGTATGTTCCTGTGTTCACATCTGTTTATATATTTAGCTACATTTCAATACATTTACCGCGGATAATCAGTACAACTAGGTGTGCGAATTTTCCAGACGGAAACAATGCGCGACACTGTCACCACTTTCATTGTTAGCCCAGATGAATTGGAAGAGGCGGCCGTGGGAAAAAGTTGAGTTTACAACGCTGAGTTGTACAGAGATAAAGTCAGCGCTGCCTATTTCACTGTGGCTCGGCGCGTAAACAGAGTTCGTACAGCATGCAGACTTAAGAGACCCACGATAGTCCTCAGGTTTTTGTGCAGAATAGGTAAAAGCTGTCAGTCATCAAATGCTCGCAGTAGAAATACCGCTTCTGTGGGTCTAGATCCATTCTGAGAGATAGACGAGAGACTGGCATAACTAAGTGTTGTCTTGGCCCTGCGACCGCTTTCACACACCAAAGGTAGTGAGAACAGGAACATGCAGGAACAGAATACAGGATTCTGCTTATAGGCAAACGGCACGGTTGATATAGAAAGTGTGTCTGAATCTTCGGTGAAGGGTCATGGATATTGAGACCGCGCCGGTTGAGATGGGGGGGGGGGCCTCGCATACGTATTGAGAGAAATATCAACAAGCGCTGCTTGCATGCAAATCACCAAAGTGAAGCAGTGGTGCGTGCATTTGAGTGGTTTAGACGCTTTAGAGACGAAACAGAGGTACCGAGAATAAGGCGCGTTCGGGTCGACCGTCAACAAGCGTAATCTCAGACAGCATCTCAAGATTATGACGGATGCTTGTTTACGATCGGTGGCTGTCTATCTGATATACTAGGAGTTGAAGATTAGCAAAGGTAGCGTAAGCATTATTACTAACGAACATAAAAAACGCATGGTTTCTGCCCAGTATGCATCCCACACACTGACAAAGGAGCAGAACTAAACCAGGATGGGTACGTCAGGAGATTTTATCGACATATCAGACCGGAATCCGCAGATTTGGAAGCCGCCATTGCAGTAGATAAGACTTGGTGCTACGAATAAGATATGGAGACTAAGTGACAGTTAACGGCATGGTTGTAATCGCCTTTCCCGCATTTTAAAAGAAGTCGACTGACAAGGCAATGTTGAACACTTTTTTCGACAACAAGGGCTTGCTTCATCATAAATTTCTACCTGAAGGTCAAACGAGGAATTTTATGAAGGAGTTTTGAAATGGCTGCTGCAACACATCCGGCAGGTTCGCCAGAGCTGGATTGGAGTGAGCAGTGGAATTTACTCCACGACTACCCCCGTCCGCACGCTGCGACCAGCATTATCAACTTTCTTACTCAACACTAGAGGAGTGCTCTTCAACACCATCCTTATTACGCAGGTTTCGCAGAGCAGAGTTCCTTTTTCTTCCAAAACTTAAAATAGCTTTGAAAGGCCTTTGCTTCACTGACGTTGTGGATATCAAACAACTCGTGACCACGGTGCTTCGAGCACCAGAGCTGACGGGCGCGTAATTATACAGACCAACGAGAGGCGCCCGACTGTAAACGTCACTAAGGATCCGGCAATTAAATAACTATTCGGATACACGTAACGAGAGGAAAGATAGAGCGTCAGCGCCAGATTGTGACTGCAATCCGCAACCAGAAGCAGTGACTCTAGACAGCCAATGGGGCTAACGAAATATCAAACTAAGACAGGCATTAATGAATAAGTGCAACAAAACAAAGTTTGTATTTATGAACGCATACACATGTATGATTAACTGTTATCACTGCTATAACCCTAGTCTCGATGGATATGCATGATGTCGACCTATGACTGGGAGTTCATCAACAGTAGACCTATTTGGGCCTTGATCGGCGTACAACCGTAAATCGTAGTTTTCGCTACTTAGTTACATTTGTGATGCGAAAATCTCATCCAGAAGTAGGATTAACATATGTTTTAAACGTGCGTCAAAATCAGCGTCGATTGCTTTGTGTGTGTACGACCTGGCGACAGGAACCAATTTGGTGTCAAGATCATCAGAAATGGTGGGAGTGCACCACTGACCGAATTCGTGGATCCCTAATCGGAGTGCTACAATAATCCTGATGTGAACTGGTAGCATACAAAACTTGCAATCAGTTGGTTCGGTTGGTCAAAACAGACCGGGTGTATCGAGGGGCGGTGGGTCCATCTGCTTCGAGTTTCACCGTAAACATGTAACAGTGCTGAGAATATGCAAGACAATGAATGTTAACAATGCAAAAGGAATAGGCAAGCAATTAAAATTCTCAGACGGAGCAGTCAAGAGTCGGTAACAAGTGAGCAGATATTTAAATCGCCATTTGCTTCCTTACTTCCCCTTGTCTGATAGGGAAGCTGACCACTGATGTGGAGAATGTGAGGGATTCCATCTAGGAGGACAGGGCGCTCAAATTCAACGGGGGTTTTCGCCGAGTTGCTTCATGCTTAGCTTCAAAATCACTCACGCGCTACCATGCGCAGGGCACCGTCCATCCAGCCTGGACTAAATAGTCGTTATTCCAACATACATCATGATATAGTCAGAATCAGAATTTAACAGCTTCAGATTGACCTAAGTTTACTTTCGGAGACAACCCAAGGTGCTCGTGCTCTAAAGTAATCGCGATAAACATATAACCTACTCATTGTTTTCACACAAAGCTGTTTTGTAAGAAGAGGAATTTAGGCTTCTCTCCAAATTTCGATGAAGGAGGTGCCGAGACGGAGTTTAGTTGGCTGACAGCTATGGCTAAATCAGCTGTGGCTCTGAAGATGTCTGAGGTTCGCCATCTAGAGTAGTTTAGTGGATCATCGCAGTGCACAAACCATCGCACGATTTCTCCTCACGATGGAAAGTTTCAATACAGCATTTGGACCCATTTCGGAAGCGAGATTCGCTGCTATATCTCTTTTGAGCAGTGCCTGTAGGTGAAAGCATCTTCTCTTAGTCTGATAGGATTTAGCCCGAATAGAATGGCGAGCATATCGAAACACGCAAATGATGGAAAATAAAGTCGTGTTAATCAAAACTATGGTCACGGAACTCGGTTTGAGGATAAACGCGTTACCTACCGCTACCGTAAAAGGTACCAGTTACTTACCGGGATGGACTCTCAAGATTATTTTAACTCCACTTGTTTATAGAGGGAACCCATATGTAGTCGACAGTGAAGGATTGCACAACCATCATAAAAATCTCTTCGGAAATGGAAAAAGCTCTGTTTCCCTGGTAAAGAGATAACAGCTCCGCGTGCAAAAGTTAACACGGTTTAGGTTTATACAGACACTTATACAATATTATCTTCCGTGTTACCAAGCATTTAGATGAGAACGCGTCGTCGAAATAATTTTGAAGTCATTCACATTATTCAGAGGGTCTAACCACTTAGAAGCGAAACAGCTCACTGGTGGATTAGATGCGCATCCCTGTCCGTGAGATCAAAGTCACTGATCATGTGCTAAAAGAAGAGGCCACCGGGACACCCAACTGTGATACCGGTAAGTGAACCAGTCGTTGGCAGTTACGTACCGAAGGTGCTCAAACTGGATTTGGCATAAACATAATATAGCATCAATAACTGATACCTTAAAATACATGAGTCGTGTAGCATTTTTAACGTTCTACAAAAAATCGATAACCCGAACTTGCTCAAATAGTTTCTTCTCTTTTCTCAAGAGTTCCTCATTCGTTCGCTGAAGGAGGTATTCTGCCTGTTGTGTCCGATCGAGCTGATCTTCGTACTTGTATCTATACAAAGAAGTAATACGGAAGTAAGTTAAATGTGGCTCACAGCTTTAGTTCCTGTTCCCTATTGGATATGTCAGAAGGATGGCACAACGGTTGATAGCGACACAATTGCGGCTAGTGTCCTCTGGAGTACACTTTCCCATGGCCGAAAGTAAATCGAGGAAATAAATGAATTCCAAGGTGAGGGAACATGTGCCGAAATGGTTACAGCGTGAAATCACCTATGCCTCGGTTTCTCTCGTCACCTGTGGTTTTTTAATGTTGTGCTTTTTATCCCATCATATACTATTGAACTATTTACAAAACGTACCCGTTTCATCCATGGATAGACACTCCTTGGCCACCTGGCATCCGTTTGGTCCTACCACAATGTTTACCATCATGTGGAGACATGCTATCGGCCGTACCTGCGGTTTGCCGAGGCCGCCACTATCAGGCGGATAAAGCTCGCAGTCAGCGTACAAAAACGCTCTCATCATCATCATCATCATTATACACGTTAGCTGCAGGTGGAAACACCTCAGTTATTGTGCCGCAATACAAAAGACAAGAAAAGGAAAACAAACAGTGGCAAGCACGCTGAGTCCTCAGTAACGGATGGACACCGTTCCGGAGAGCTAATAGTTGGCTATCGAGTCGTAAAATCAGAGTTATATTATGCTTAACGAGTGAGATCGCATTGGAGGGGATGCTAAGCAGGAGGGAGATGGACAAAGAAACTCACAACGCAAACGCCATTGGGGCCGGCTCTTTGCCATATCAGCAAGTGTGTCCAACCAAACATGTTCACCGTCCATAGGACCCCAGCCAGTCAGTCGGGATGCACCAACCGACGCCAACTTCGAAGTGAGAGTTTCCATTTCTCTCGACCAAGTCATCGCTTGGCCTCCTCTCCTCCTCTTCCAACCGCACCCCTGGCGCGCAAACGATGCACGTCGCGGAAGTCGATGTGCTGGCATGCGCACACTCTTCGTAAACGTTTTCTTTTTCTCACCGAGTTACTCTACTGAAGTAGTCTACGCAGGTCTTCAAGTGACCGACCATTTGGCCATCTCAGAATGATCACTCCGTTCAGCTGGCGCACTCAAGAAGATGTAGAACGTGAGGCAGGCGGGTGTGTCCAACCTGACCTGCAGCGAAGATCACATAACTCACTAGCAAACTAGACTACTTTTCAGAAGTAACTCTAATAGCTAAACAGTGGACAGCACAACGGTAGAAATCCACCACCATCGTCAGCAGTCTAGACCAATGGGTAGTGACAGCAGTCCTTGTGCCATTTACGAATGTCACTCAGTGGATGAATTATGTGAGTCGACAACAGCGGGGACCGCATACCATGTATGCTTAAGCAGAGAGTTGCCCTTTTACTAAACACAGTAATGTGGTACCAGAGGTAACATTACTCCTCACCTGATACAATTCATCGAAACAAGTCCCTTTACAAAGCTAATTGAACATGCCAACTCATCAGCATACTGGAGATGTGGAAATATGTTACAGTTTCATTTGTTTACCTATTCATATGTGGATGGGCTTCAGTATGACCCAGCCATGTTCGCAACCAGCAATGCGAAAGCTGAAGTCAAGCGTTGACCAGGTGAAGCGATAGATACCCACTGCAGAGTATGCACACCCACGACTTTTAAATCATCTCATCCGGTCAAATGCGCCAGTTTTCGACTAGATCCATGGTCCGATAGTGGACAGACCTATTACTGACTGGTGGTTGGTAACTGTCTGTCTGTCTGATTTCGCTTTTCACCTAGAACAGAAAGCTAACAGCTTCCAAGTGCATGTGCTAGCCCGTACCCTTAAGCATCACAAGTTTGCGTTGGACTCGGAGGTCGCGGATTCGAGCCTGCGTATAGGACCAGGCGACCCTCGCAGTATCCTTAGCCCACATGCAACTGTTGGTAGTTGCGCGGCGGCGAAACGTCGGTAAGCAATACCGACGTGCTGTTTTTGCTTTTCCAGGTGTATGAAGATGTTTGACCGACCAACTTGGTTCCGATTCTGGGAAATGAGTTAGCTACGCTCAGCTTTACCCGCTCGAACACATAGCACATATTGATTTGCAATGAATCTGGCTTGCGTCACACTTTTGCACACTGTCCTTGTAGATACTGCAGCTCCGATACGAATGATACAGATTCTGAAGCATAAGGAAATGAAATGGGGTTTTCTGATGCATGTTTCACTACGAAAAATCCCATCAACTTATGCGGCGACTTCAGCCTTGAGAAACAAGGAATCAGAAAGTGAGTAAACAGGTGGACTAAAAGCTACCACTTGAGACAACGCCATCCGGTGACTGGACAAGGGAGAAAGAAGATGGCGCATTACATCCTACAGATAGCCCTAGTGTACCAGTGAAGTTGGAATGATCTATTCTATGTCGTAGAAATTCATATATCAGCCGATAGGAACGTTCAAGTATCACTGTGCATAACAGTTGCCAACCAAACCTGATGAAACGCAGTCACTGACGCCTGCAGCGTGTGCAGCTATCAGTCCGGATAAAGTGGGTAGCCGCCTCTGGAGACCAGTACCCACCAGCGATGTAACCAGAATGAGATGAAGATGGTAGCTGGTTTGGTGAGGAAACGTGTAGTATTGAAATATCCAGTTGGGAGAACAAATAAACACCCCGGTGAAAAACACAGTGGATGACTGCTTTAGGTGTTATGTGTGACCGGCTGTCGGGTCACTGACTACTCACTTCTGTAACCAGAGATGAGTATATAACGGAGAGCAGATGAACAACCTTGCTGGCCACCGACTTCTCTGTGGACTGCTATTGAACACGAAGAAGGCGAAGGAGCCACCCGAATGCCAACGGTCTTTGTTTATCGCCCCGTTGCCTTGCGGGTTAGGTCTTGAGACCAAAGAGTCGGTTTGGATTCCCTTAATTCCAACCTCTTCCTCGGGCTGGGCAACCGGAAAGATCTCTGCCCACGCAACAAATTAGGCTTCTAACTTTCCAAATCCTTTCATTGACTACCCGTGTTTCCCCTTTCTGTTGTTGCTAACTATGTATTGTGCCACTGCCAATTGTACATTGGTCAAGTGTTGAATAATAATAATAGTAATAATAATAATGATAATACTAATAATAATGAGGTGTTCTGTACCGCTCCCCTCGGGACCAAGTGGTAGCAGTAACCAACCCTGTAGGATTGGGTCACTGAGTTGCTTCCCATGGAGTTTGAGAGGAAAGGGATGTCCAATATCGATGGTTCCTGGATGCAGGGCCCAGTGTGTTCCGGATGTGCAATGTCTTTCTGATGGAAACTGGCGGTAGCAAATCTGCAGTACAACATGTCATTTAGTTTATCCTTCGCTGTGTGCGTGAAAATTACCTGAGCAACTTGATAAACGACGCACATAGTTGTACCATCCAAAGCGCATTATTTAATTTCTGACTGCAGTTCGTGAGAATGAAGACGCCCCCTCGAACTCACTTTAATTCCAATAATTGGGATTCCAGTCCTGCAAGTGGCAAGCTGTCTAGTCCATCACTCCCGTCACCTGTATCCAGACCAATGGTACCGACTTTTGTTAGTTGTAGAATCATGTTCTGAATCTTGGCTTCAGCAGCACTTCTAGCCGCCTGCAATTCTTCCTGAGACTGACATTGGCTTTCTAGTATTCGCAGAACCATCATCAAGTTTGAGTGTTGTGCCTTCATCTTTCTGTTGCCGGCGACGGCCGATTTATCCGGCTCTTCTGAATGAGTACGCAGTGAAAGGTAGAAAAGATAATTCCAAGCACAAACATAGAATGGGTTTTATAATTTTATCGATCACAAAATCAGAACTCGGCGTAGGTATGTGTAACGCAGTGGATGTTCTAAGTGGTTATATATTGAGTTGAATACCTCTTTAATGGGAGTAACTACTTAATCAATAGATTTGGTCAACTCACAAGATTGCTATAGCAATATAAGTTCGTAAAGTACCTAGCGTCGTGTGATGGTGCGAACCGGGATACTTTTGCTACATGTTTACACACTGCCGTGCCCGTAAGCTACGCTCAATGCATTTATGACTGAGAGTCGTATTGCAGTGGGATAAGTAAAAACACGGGTAGAGCCTACAACTAAGTATTGGAAAGCTCTTAAACACGGTGGACGCCTGTGCCGTTAATTCCACCTGCATTATCAATCCGGATGCGAAAAAGCACTAGCACACTACCGCTTGCTAAGATTGGTGCCTACAAACGTATGAACTTCCAGCATATTCTCCCGGAACCGCCAATACCGTAAGAACAGTCACGCACCTTGCTCAACTTTTGCGGTGACTGTTGCTTGCGTACTCAAGTGTCTGGTCTCCTTCGCTCATTTTTATCAGCTTGCTCCCGTTTTAGTTCGGTAAATCCTCTCTTATCTCACCTGAACATGACAATCGATGAAACTTTGTCAGACAGTACATCACGTGGCAGTAAGTCTACGAGACACCCGATCATTCGGGGTTCTGTATGCGGCACACAACACTTCAAAAGGGCGGTCGGTTTGGTCACATACATAGCTTCTTTTGGTGAAACTCATACAGACACATTCAACAGATTAGATACGGCTAAAGCAGGCTTGCATATTTCTGTCCTCGGATAGTGAGACGAAGAGGTCTCCATATAGATGGCTAGTCAGGAAAATCCATGCAACACAAAATTAAGGAAGTCGCCTATTATTTTGTCCAACAACCAGACCGTCGCATGAAAGGGAGTGGTGTGCCATAGTAGACGGGTATTCCTCAGTGACTATTTCCAGCAAGCCCATAGCAAAGTAAGCAAATGAGAAGAACTAAGTGCTCCAAAAAGAAGATAGTGGCCTTCCGCTGCTAATGAGGGACACGAATATTTGGTCACCAAATGCCATTAGCCCAACTCCTTGCTTAAAACATCCACCAGCAAGCATACGGAATAATGACGCGATTGTTGTAAGTTCGTTAGCTCTGAACTCCAACTGTCTATGATCAAACTGGAGTTGCCCGGGATAGCACTATCAGAATTCAAAGCAAGCACATTAACAAAATTACTGTAGAGCTTTAATAAATGGGTATGGTACTCCGCTGAACATAAAGAACTGAGCTGAGCTTGTAGCTTTTGCTAGCAACAAAACCGTTTAAGTGGGACATCAACACCATCTCTCCACGCAGTTCCAAGGATTTATTTCTCGCAATCGATAATTATTTATACTCATACTTATGAAACAGTATTGTAAGCACCATCCAAAGGTTATTCGTTAGTGTTCAGATAGAGAGTAACATCTAGCCATACCATAACTGGGTGACCTATTCAACGGTTGTAATGATCACTCTACTCTAGCTTGGTTGCTACATGAGTACATGTCAAGTAGAATTTCTGGAGATGTTAGTAACGCCATACTACCCCTAAGCGACCACAGTCAGTGCATTGTGGAATAACAATTTGTATCGGTTGCGTAATCCAAGATTCCGTCCAGCAAGCAATCATGCTACGAACAACTTCCCACATACAGCTAATAGCGTGGTTCCTTTAGGTATGAGACTGCAAAAGAGGACTTACTCGCCGAAGGTAGAGTACAGGTCGCATTAGCGTCTTCAGCTAGAAGTACACCGTTTTGCTGACATAACCGGCGTGCTGCTACAGAATCATCCGATTTCGAGTTTTGCAGCATAGCCATTAGCATTTCGTTATCCGGAATTTCATGTTCCGCATTCTCCACAGAGAAACAAGGAACTTCGGCGTCTGGCGAGGGTCCGACGCTCGCTTGAATCGTACCCACGTGCGCACATTGTGGATCCACATCTGAACTAAACATTTTACACCAGAATCAAATACAGTATTGAACACAATGTACAAAAATATGTATTAACCAAATTATAGGTAAAAGTACACGTCATTCCATTGTTGCTAATATCACATTACGCTTTGTTTATGCCAGCAAGACGGCGCGGAGAGAAAGTTGCTAGCCGGCCGAAAAATACTGTTTGCATCGATAAGTTCGGTGGAAAATGTTCAACCTAAATCAGACTGGAATTTAACGTAGTGCGTTCGTTCGTGTGCCGGAGTGATCCATTAGGCTATGCTGGGTGGTGCTTGAATTTATACCTTCAGAGCTACTCATACCAGATTGGTCAATGATTAAAAGCCGGACAAACTCAATCTCCTGGCCCTCCAGGTTGGGGATTGGAGTGAGAGTGGCTCCTTATTTCATAAAACAGGCGCTCTGTTGTCCAGTGCCGAAATCCCCTGCCTTGCGGTAAGGTATTTGAACTTCCGGATTTGGTTGAGAACCCTAATCGTTCTCCTATCTAGGCCTGAGCAACCTGACAGTATTCTGCCCACGAAATACAACGAACCTTCAACAAACAATTTCTTGGTGCTCTGGCCGTCGCAGAGGATAATAAACGGCGCCCTCTCTGCCGCATAGACCAGGGTAGATGTGGTGTGAATAGTAGTGCTCAGGCCCTCCCGTCTTCTTATTCCCCTTCTTGCGCTTCTTTATCCCTATCGTCCCGCTCCAACTTTATTTTTATCCCCCCATTTTCAATACCCCAATTCTTGGCCCTCTCGCAGCTTGCTTCATTAGTTGCTTGTCTTCGAGTTTCACATCAAACTGAGCCGCAGAGCATCGCTCCAATCCAGTCGACAAGTCCATGCTCAACCAAGAGGACAACGTCGCTTCATCCGTTTCTCTTTGGACTCCTCTAGTCTCGCTAAGACTGACTTGCTATTTGCTACAGATTGGCCAACAGGCGACACTTGCCCACACACTAGAGACCCTGTCGATCGATATTTGCTGTTTACCAGAAATCCGTCTGCAAGATTCGAGCTCCGTGCTTACCCTGCGATCCCCACATGCGACACTGACGGCACATTCTCATCGCGCCTGTATGGCGACGAGGCAGTTTCAAATGCCGGTCAAGCTGGCGTCGGCATTGTTTTGATTCCCCGGGCTGAAGCAGCTCTGATGGACTGGATCCCAGTCAACAGTCGGATGTGCGCCGTTAGATTACAATGAACAATGAACAATGATTTATCACGGGATAAAAGCAAGTGCTTGACACGTCCCGTAGGATGGTAGCGGTGAATATGATGCAATTAAAATATGTCTGGGTCATCTATCGAACGTCTGCCGAGATGAATACTTTGATAATTAACATCAGTGTGAAATGAAAAAGAAATATCGCGCGTAAGCATTCAGAAAGACACTGGGGCGCAGTGATAGTTGAGGTAAGGAGTGAGAAAATAAAATATGATCGCTCACGTAGGTCCATTTGATACATTAGTCCTGTTGAAAACATGCTTGGCGTAATCCACAACAGAGGAGCTTAGGTAACAAAATGTTAGGAGCTGAGAGCAACATCTAATCGTTTTTTGAAAACATCCAGGGTAGGAGAGGATACTACTGAGTCTGAGAGTGCGTTCCATGGTTTGCAAACCCGAAGGGAAAAGTAATTCCGTCGACACTCTAGACGGCTATATTGTTCCTTCAACTTTAAGCAGTTACCCCTGAGCTGCGTGTTGTGGCTAAGTTTCAGCAAATGGCGGCATACGTGGTTGGGGTCACTCAATATCTGATACGCTGGTTCGTCCCGTGTTACGAAGTCACGTGGGGACAAACGGTGTCTGTTTGTCATTGCGGCCCACGCCCCTACAAACTGTAGCACTGATCCGGTGAAAGATGATTTCTATTACCAAGTAGACGTGTTCCTTCGTTACAGAACGAGCACGGATAATGTGTTGCTTGCTGGTGATTTAAGCGCACAAGTCGGAAGATTGTCCTCTGATGAATTTCATCTGGACAGCCAAATGGTGTAGGCTCCCTTAACGGTAACGGTGAGCGGTTGTTACACCTGTATGAAGATGCTCGTCTCTTTCTCGCAAGCACAAACTTTCGACACAGCACCCGCAGAAGCGTGACTTGGCGGTCACCAACCTCGGACCAGCCATGGACGCAAATCCATCATATCTCTATTAGTTACCGCTGGAGAGGCTGTGTCCAAAACTGTCGCTCGATTTGGAGCACGAGCGTGGACTCTGACCACGCACTTGTCTGCGTCGACCTCCGGCTGCGCTTCGGTGGACATCTGCTACGTCGATATGAAGGGATTGACACCAGCAAGCTAGCGAAGCCAGGTGCTCTGAATGTGTCTCACAGTGCCTTGACATCTAGGCTGAGTAAGCGCCCACTGAACACAGTCGAAGATCACTGGTCGCATATTCGTCAAACGTTACTGTTAGCAGGTATGTCTTCATGTGGCAAAGCAAATTGCCAAACTGGATACTAGGCCCCGACACAGTCTCTGGAACTTCTGCATGTTCGTCGACGTATTCCGGCTCGAAGCGAATAAAATGAGGCTCGCAAAAATCTCAGAGCAAAACTACGTGCTAGAATGAAGAGAGACCGCGAAAACTGGTGGTCTCATCGTGCTTCGGAGAAGGAAATAGCCACTGCCGTTGGTAATCATCGTAAGTTATTGCGCCTGATATGGGAACCAGGCAGCAGGAGACCTGCTGTTAACGAGACAATAAGCAACGTGAATGAACAGCCGATCCACAACCTGTCAAAACGCTTGGAGCATTGGCCAGAACATTTGGCAGGTCAGTTTCATCAATCTGAGTTATCGTTTTCTTTTTCGGGCATAGAGCGCCCTTCTCCCTAAGCCGTCTCCATGGATCCGCCCTCACGCGCAGAAGTCGAACGTGAGATCAGGCTGTTGAAATTGCACAAGGTCGCAGGGGCAGATAGAATTCCCTCAGCCCTCTTCGAATTCGGGGGACCTGCTCTAATAGATGATTTACACGAGTTGCTAGTGAAAATGTGGGAGCAGGAGACTGTCCCGACAGACTGGAACCGCTCCTTCATTGTCCAAATTTTCAAGGGAAACTCCCGCTCAGAATGCGGCAATCATAGACGGATCAGTCTGACTTCGATTGCTTCTAAATTGCTTGCCTCTCTCATTCTCCCCAGACTGACTGGCGCTCGTGAAAGCCAGATCCTCGAAGAGCAAGCCGGGTTTCGTCGAGATTCGGACTGCGTGTACCACATTTTCACCTTGCGTAAATTTTTGGAGCACCGCCATGTTTCTTGACGACCCACCGTTGTTGTGTTTCTTGACATAAAAGCTGCCGTCGACTCAGTCGATCGATGTGCTCTTTGGGACTGATTGTTTAGAAAAGATATGCCCGATAAAAAGGAACATTATGAAAGTGCTGTACGCACACAGTTCGGGCAGAGTGATGGTTTAAACAAACTGTCGCCGTCCATCAATCTCTTCAGCGGTGTGAGACAAGAATGCCCGCTGTCACCTTTCCTCTTCAACTTCGCCAATGAAGAAGTCATGGAAACAACGTGCGCTGGACACGACCTAGAAGGTGTGAAGCTACTTCCTGGTGAGCGACTTCTTGACTTGGAGTATGCGGACGATATCGTCCTAATCTGTGACAGCTCCCAAACATGCCAAACAGCACTGGACCGATTAGCACTGGCTGTCATTCGTTTTGGGATATGCTTTGCCCCATCGAAATGTAAAGTACTTCTCCAAGATTAGTAGGAACTCAGTTCTGCGCTGACCCTTGATGGTGATAGCTAGAAGTCGTTCAGGAATTCAAGTACCTGGCCAGCTATATTGGTGTCCGTGGGATCGAAGATGAGGTTACGAACCGTATAGCAAAAGCTCGAGGTGCTTTTGCCAATCTCCGCCACCTGTGGCGCGGACGCGGCATTACTCTCGCCCTGAAGGGCAAAGTTTCTAATGTAGCCGTCCATTCAACTCTTCTATATAGTTGCGAAACCTGACCCATCAGGTCGACAGACACAATGTGGCTCATCATATTCGACCATCGCTGCCTTCGCAGCTTGGCTTATGTCTGGTGGGAGCATTGCGTGAACAATGAGCGTGTTCGGCGTGGCGTATTTGGTGCAGGGAGATCGAGTGAACCGCTCAGCACCATTATATCACGTACCAGGCTCCGATGGCTGGGCCACGTATTGCGCATTTCAGCACACCGACTTCCGCGACGTGCATTGTTTGCGCGCCATGGGTGTTGTTAGAAGAGGAGGAGAGGAGGCCAACCGATGACTTGGTCGAGAGAGATGAAAACCCTTACTTCGAAGTTGGCGTCGGTTGGTGCATCCCGACTGACTGGCTGGGATCCTAAGGACGGTGAATACGTTTGGTTGGACAAACGTGCTGTTATGTCGAAGAGCCGGCCCCAATGGCGTTTGTGTTGTGAGTTTCTTTGTCCATCCCCACTATTTTAGATTCCCCTACCAATTCTGATCTTACACGAAATGCATTGAATGCTATTTAACATGTTATCACCCGCTATTGAATATTTTTGTAGTGTAATTTTGTGATATCTTTTGTAAGTTAGACGCAAGCCGAGCTAATTTTGGGAATCGGGTGAGAATTGATGAGCCAGCAAATACCAGCCCGCGTAAAAGGAATCGAATCAGTCCGTCAATATGATTAACCCGTGGAGCGGAACTCACTCACATTGGCTGAAAATCAGACGTGGAATAGTGTGCCACCTTGACTTCCTAAATTAACATGTTTCGGTTAACAATAGATAGAGTTAACCTATCCTATAGAGATATACATTCTGTCTATCAAGTTCTGGCCTTTTGTATTCCTTCGGTTGGCTGGGCGCGTGACTGAGAAGTCAGACGGTCGCAGTCTCACAGGGCAGCTAGGAGCAGTAAAACAATTGTCAGTGGCAGAAAGCAGAGGTAAATAAAGCAAGCGTTATAACAGCGGCACATTGGCTTAGTTGTGTTTATCATCCTCAACTAACGTGCATTGATGATGATGATGATGCTGATGATGATGATGGTGATGATGCTGATGATGATGAGGATGATGATGAGGATGATAATGATGATGAGGATGAGGACGATGATGATGATGATAAGGAGGAGGAGGTTGAATGTAACAGATTTCGAGAAATGGCCCCTATGCGGGGTGGTGGTGATTGTGACAATAAAATACACGGAGATAATACAGATCGTAATCGAACGCTGAGTCCGTGCTTATCGTCGCCGGCGCGCCTTTCACTCCATGATGGCATGCTTTCCGGGAAAGGATTGATCGGGAGCTAATGCGCTAAAGAGGAAAACGAACCGGCGCTGATACGGCTGCCAACCGTATTCTGTGGTCAATCGATCGACCTAGCTTTGAGGCAGAAGCTCATCCAATTACCTGTTTCGTAGACTTGACAGTTAAATAGGTGTTGGAAGGTCGGATTTCGACTCCCAGTTCATTTGGAAACATGCCGTTATATTCATAAGCCAAGTTTCAGCAGTTAAATTAGTGTATCGGAAATCGGTAGACCGTAATCAGAGAACCAGCATGTAAAAAAGGACAACACGGACTCGGATAATTTGGCGCTATCCACCTATGCCAAACGACGTAGGTAACAGAGTGCATTGACCGCATTGTAGCAGCGAGCTCAACAATTTATAACTGGGTAGATAACCCGAACTCACCATGTTTCTTGCAGACGTGAGGTAGTCTTTTCACACACAGGAGAAATTTTCTGGCTAGTGTCGTTAGTAACCCTCAGCTCCGCTCCAATACAACCGCGCACATTAGAAACAGATGACTGCCTGTCGGAAGAGATATCGTCTTCTGATGTGTCTCCGATCACAGTACATCGGTAGCGTATTCCGTTAAGGTGCTCTTCTTCAGACAACTGGTTAATTGCAGTCGATTCAGCCTGATTGTCAGATGATTTATAAAGGGCCTCGTCTTCTTGTTTGACTTGTTTTGAGAACACCAAATTTTTATCCGGTGTAGAACTTTCCACGTTCGCTGAGCTAGTTTGGTCTGTCACAGGTGATCCATGGAATCCGAAGGCATTATTTTGGATGTTGGAATGAGCAACCTCGACAAGTTTAGTTGGGGCCTGTCAGAGGATATGTCCATCATTTAAAGTCTGCACGTGGTATAAAATGTTACATGTTCTCATAGTTCCCTTCCAAGAGTTCAGTTACCGAGGTATCGATTGATTATATACATGTCTTAGAGGCATCTGGCATAATTCCAAACAAGAGCATGTGAGTACGCATGTTGTGAGAGAACTCGGTCCTTAGCTGCATTTTAACCAGTCATAAGATTGCAATAAATAACATATCTACAGGAAATCATGTTATGCGAGGTCGATAATCGGCGAACAAGTGACTAATCAATGCGCTTTGTGTACCAAAGTGATGGGTTGGGGGTAAAGGTCGGTTTTTATGCACGCAAAGTAGTGGTCGCTGTAATTCGAGGACGATGACTCCCAGAAGTGTGAGAATTTGGGGCCGCTGATTGCGTACTAGGACCGTGCGTGACTCAGCAAGACTGACTTGGTAGCATGCGAGTAGAAAATTCATTGTGCTTTCAGAAGTAGCTCGATGGCTCCATTAGCTCAACTCCACCGTCATAAATCCAATCAAGACGTCCAACCTAGCTGCCTTCATAGTAATGGGTGAATTTGCTAAGCAATATTATGTATACCAATTTGTCATGAGCGTCTTGGTCGAACACTTACGCAGTGTCAAAAAAGATGTGTTAGCTGTACGCCGTAAAGACGCTTCACTGCCGTGCGACCATCACCATTCACACGTGGGCTGAGTATACCGCGAGGAGGCCCACCCCTACGCGGATTCTAACCTGCGCCGAAAGATTACATGTTCGTTACCTCTAAGCTACCGACCGACACAATTACGCAGTGATATTATCGATGCGAGCAGCTGGACACATCAGCATCATCATCATCATCATTATACACGTTAGCTGCAGGTGGAAAACACCACAGCTATTGTGCTGCAATACGAAAGACAAGACAAACAGTGGCACGCCGACTGAGTCCCCAGTAACAGTTGGACACAGTTCCGGAGAGCCAACAGCTGACTATAGTGCTGCAAAAAGAGAGTCATTATGCCTAACGAGTGAGATCGCAATTGGAGGGGGATGCAGAGCAGGAGGAGAATGGACAAAGAAACTCAAAACACAAACGCCATTGGGGCCGGCTCGTCACCATAGCAGCACGTTTGTCCAACCCAACGTGTTCACCGTCCATAGGATCCCAACCAGGCAGTCGGGATGCACCAACCGACGCCAGCTTCGAAGTGAGGGTTTTCATCTCTCTCGACCAAGTCATCACTTGGCCTCCTCTCCTTCTCTTACAATCGCATCCACAACGCGCAAACAATGCACGTCGCGGAAGTCGGTGTGTTGGCATGCGCAATACGTGGCCCAGCCATCGGAGCCTGGTGCGTGATATAATGGTGCTGAGCGGTTCACTCGATCTCCCTGCACCAAATACGCCACGCCGAACACGCTCATTGCTCACGCGGTGCTCCCACCAGACATAAGCCAAGCTGCGAAGGCAGCGAAGGTCGAATATGATGAGCCACTTTATGTCTGTCAACTTGATGGGTCAGGTTTCGCAACTATATAAGGAGAGTTGAATGGACGGCTACATTAGAAACTTTGCCCTTCAGGGCGAATGTCGCGTCTGCGCCACAAGTGGCGGAAATTGGCAAAAGCACCTCGAGCTTTTGTTATACGGTTCATAACCTCATCTTCGATCCCACGGCCGCCAATATAGCTGCCCAGGTACTTGAATTCCTGAGCGACGTCTAGCTATCACCATCAAGGGTCAGCGCAGGGGTGAGTTCCTACTAATCTTGGAGAAGTACTTTGCATTTCGATGGAGCAAAGCATATCCCAAAACGATTGACAGATAGTGCTAATCGGTCCAGTGATGTTTGGCATGTTTTGGAGCTGTCACAGATTAGGACAATATCGTCCGCATACTCTAAGTCAAGAAGTCGCTCACCAGGAAGTAGCTCCACACCTTCTAGGTCGTCTCCAGCTCACGCCGTTTCCATGACTTCGTCATTAGCGAAGTTGAAGAGGAAAGGTGACAGCTGGAATTCTTGTCTCACACTGCTGAAGATATTGATGGACAGCGACAGTTTGTTATAGACCATCGCTCTGCAAGAACTGTGTGCATACAGCACTTTCATAATGTTTCTATTTATCGGGCATACCTTTTCTAAGCAGTCAGTCCCAAAGAGCACATCGATCGACTGAGTCGACGGCACCTTTTATGTCAAGAAACACAACAACCGTGGGTCGTCAAGAAACATGGCGGTGCTCCAACATGTTACGCAAGGTGAAAATGTGGTACACGCAGTCCGAATCTCGACGAAATCCGGCTTGCTCTTCGAGGATCTGGCTTTCACGAGCGCCAGTCAGTCTGTGGAGAATGAGAGAGGCAAGCAATTTAGAGGCAATGGGAATCAGACTGATCCCTCTATGATTGCCGCATTCTGAACGGGAGTCTTCCTTGAAAATTGGGACAATGACGGAGCGGTTCTAGTCTGTCGGGACAGTCTCCTGCTCCCAAATTTTCACTAGCAACGCGTGTAAATCATCTATTAGGGCAGGTCCCCCGAATTTGAAGAGGGCTGAGGGAATTTTATCTGCCCCTGCGGCCTTATGCAATTTCAACAGCCTGACCTCATGTTCGACTTCTACGCGTGAGGGCGGATCCAAGGAGACGGCTTAGGGACAAGGGCGCTCAATGCCCGAAAAAGAAAACGATAACTCAGATTGATGAAACTGCCCCGCCAACTGTTCGGCGTAACGCTCCAAGCGTTTTGACAGGTTGTGGATCGGCTGTCCATTCTCGTCGCGTATTGTCTCGTTAACACCAGGTCTCCTGCTACCTGTTTCCCGTATCAGACGGAATAACTTACGATGATTACCAACGGCAGTGGCTATTTCCATCTCCGAAGCATGATGAGACCACCAGTTTTCGCGGTCTCTCTTCATTCTAGCACGGAGTTTCGCCCTGAGATTTTTGCTAGCCTCATTGTATTCGCTTCTAACAGGAATACGTCGACGAGCATGCTTTTGTTGCAGAGACTGTGTCGAGGCCTAGTATCCAGTTTGGCAATTTGCTTTGATACATGAAGTCATGTCTGCTAACAGTAACTTTTGACGAATATGCGACCAGTGATCTTCGACTGTGTTCAGTGGGCGCTTACTCAGCCTAAGTGTCAGCGCACTTTGATTCACATTCAGAGCACCTGGCTTCGCCAGCTGGCTGGTGTCAATGCGCTCAAATCGACGTAGCAGACGTTCACCGAAACACACCCGAAGGTCAGCACACATAAGAGTGTGATCCGAGTCCACGCTCGTGCTCCAAATCGAGCGACAGTTTTGGACACAGCCTCTCTAGCGGTAACTAATAGCGATATGATCGATTTGCGTCCATGGTTGGTCCGAGGTTGGTGACCGCCAAGTCACGCTTCTGCGGGTGCTGTGTCGAAAGTTTGTGCTCGCGAGAAAGAGACGAGCATCTTCACACAAGTGTAACAACCGCTCATCGTTATCGTTAAGGGAGCCTTCACCACTTTGGCTGCCAGATGAAATTTATCAGAGGACAATCTTCCGGCTTGTGCGTTTAAATCACCAGCAAGCAACACAGTATCCGTGCTTGTTCTGGAACGAAGGAACAAGTCAGTTGGTGCTAGAAATCATCTTTCACCGAATCAGTGCTGCAGTTTGTGTGAGCGTAGGCTGCAATGACAAACAGACACCGTTTGTCCCCACGCGACTTCGTAGCACGGAACGAACCAGCTAATCTAACGGCGCACATCCGACTGTTGACTTTGATCCAGTCCATCAGGGCAGATTCAGCCCGGGGACTCAAAACAATGCCGACGACAGCTTGACCGGCATTTGAAGCTGCATCGTCGCCAGACAGGCGCGATGAGAATGTGCCGTCAGTGTCACATGTGGGATCGCAGAGTAAGCACGGAGCTCGAATCTTGCAGACGGGTTTCTGGTAAACAGCAAATGTCGATCTACAGGGTCTCTAGTGTGTGGGCAAGTGTTGCCTGTTGGCAAATTTGTAGCAAATAGCGCACGTTGAGGCAAGTCAGTCGTAGTGAGACTAGAGGATTCCAAATGCAAACGGATGAACCGACGTTGTCGGCTTGGTTGTGCATGGACTTGTCGACTGGATTGGAGCGATGCTCTGCGGCTGTGTGTGATGTGAAACTCGAAGACGGGTGAATAATGAAATAAGCTGCGAGAGGGCCAAGAATTGGAGTAGTGAACATGGGGGATAAAACTAAAGTTGGAGCGGGACGATAAGGATAAATAATGTCAAGTAGGGGAATAAGAAGACTGGAAGGCCTGAGCAGTACCATTCACACCACATCCACCCTGTTCTATGCGGCAGAGAAGGCGCCGTTTATTATCCTCTGCGACGGCCATAGCATCAAAAAATTGTTTGTTGAAGGGTTCATTGTATTTCGTAGGCGGAATACTGTCAGGTTGCCCAGGCCTAGACAGGAGAACGATTAGGGTTCTCAGCCAAATCTTTTTGTTCGGAAACCTTACCCCAAGGTAGGGGGTTTTGGCACTGGACAACAGAGAGCCCGTTTTATGAAATAAGGAGCCACTCTCACTCCAACTCCCAACCTGGAAGGCCAGGAGATTGAGTTTTTCCGGCCTCTAGCCATTGACCAATCTTTTATGAGTATCTTTGATGGTGCAAAACCATTATCCAACATAGCTCAATGGATCACTGAGGCTCGCAAGCCACCGCACCACACAAAGCTCCGGCCTCGCATGTTGAAAATTCCATTGACAATGGATTTGCTAGGTCATTTTAGGTCATCTTCCAGTGAGATAAGTGTTCGCCGGGGCCTTTTCAAGAGGATGGCGCCCCTTGCATACGAGTCCTTTCTGCCATTGTCTTAATGCATCTCACCAGCTCATCTTTTGGTCTCCAAGCATGGCGTGGCAACTGCGTCTAATGGACCTCGATTTCGGAATGCAATATTCTTAAGCATTAAGAAGCCAACATATGCGATTTGTGTTCCGCCGACACTTCACTGC